TAAACACAACAAGTCTACTATTGTTTTTTCTTCTGTGTGGTCTTTTAGAATTATCATTCCCAGTTTTCTGTTTATTGTTGTACATAGTTTAAAGGGAATTTGCCAAGTGATCCCTGGACTTCAAACTTTAGGCCTGTTTTCAGGACAAATTAATATCTGTGGAAACCCAATATGCCTCAACTTCCATCTATCAAATGCAGAATTAATGGAGACATTGAGTAAGTATCTATGTATAGTTTTCTGGAGATGGAGGAACAGAGAGGGGTACCTTGAAGATGTAAAAAGTTCAATATAATAAAGTCAATAGATTTTTTATTTTAGATAATGGCAATTAACATAAAATAATAAAATATCATATATGAAAATTAGCATGGAACAATAGATATAAACATTTTTACCCAAGTTATACTGCTCTGTGTATCAATATGAAATACTTGTTTAATTATCAACTGGTTCCAATACTTTAGTAGACTAAAACATTATATTATTTTAAAAAGAATAGAATTGTTTGCTTTGCTATGAAAATTTAATTATTTTTTTCTTTTTTATTTTATTTTTTCCTTATTGATTAAGGTATTACATATGTCTCCTTATTTCCCCATTGTCCTCTACCTCCCCCACTCCACGGAGTGCGTGGGTGGTCTCGGCTGTTAGGGGTGACAGCTGGGCACGTGGCGCGCGCGTTCCCCCGATGCCAGGCACGTAACCCTGGGCTCGGTTTCTCCACAAGTGGGACCCGTCGTGGTACTCGGCGTAGACGTGTGAGAGGGAAATGAGTTAGTCCCTGGTGAGGCGCTGCGGACTGTGGGGGAACTCATGCCCTCACCCCGCTGATGTCTGTGACCATTGGTTAGGCTTATATGCATGCATACAAGTCCTTTGGTTGATCTCTACCCCTTACCCTCACCCTCCCCTACCTTCCCTCTGAGGTTTGACGGCCTGATCATTGAGGGCTTTAAGATTATGGTAAGTCACTTATCTTTGGGGAAGTAAGAAATAATCACTAAAGTCCTCTGGGCTCCATGCTTCAGTGAGGAATAGCTGTGTAAGTTCCAATTTGACTTAAAAAATTCAAGCATGCTCAGAATTACTCGTGAAATTCCTTAAATTGGCCTTAATCCCAGCGACCAGTTGGAAGCTTCAGGGTCAATAATGAACATTTTTGTTTTGGGCTTTGGCTCCACTCAACCCCCATCTAAGAACGAGGTCTAGATTGAAAGACTAAGGGAGAGGAGAGAGGGTGACCAGGATTTTTGCTGTCACTTTCTTTGCCAAATTCCAGAGCCGATCCTGGTAATGTGCCTGAGAACACCTGCAAAGCTGTTCAGTTTGCTGTCAAATGCTCTTTCTCTTTTTCCTGGGCGTGATTAAGGCCATGATGATGCTGGTTACGGGGCTCAGCGTCTGGTAGGTGTCAGTGCGCTGTGTGTGTTCCAGGCACACAGGACGGGGAGTTCAGGAGCAGCAGAGGTAGTTTGCCAGTGGCCTGGGGAATGGGAAATAACGATATCTCCACGTTTCATTTCCAGAAGAAGTATGTCTCAGGAAGGTGATTATGGGAGATGGACGATATCCAGCAGTGATGAAAGTGAGGAGGAGAAGCCCAAACCGGACAAGCCGTCTACTTCTCTCCTCCACGCCGGGCAGGAAGCAGCCTGTGAGCCAAGGTACACCTGTTCCGAGGCTCGGAAAGCCGCCCACAGGAGGAAGGTGTCACCCCTGAAATTCAGCAACACAGATGGGGTTTCAGAAGTCTCACCTCCCAAGAAGCAGAAGAGTGGTTCCCAGGAAGACCTGGGCTGGTGTCTCTCCAGCAGTGACGATGAGCTGCCACCAGAGACGCAGCTGATGCCGGCTGAGAAAGTGGACCTCAAAGAGGAGAAAGGCGTCTCCCCTCCCACACAAAGTGCCGCCCCGAGGGCTGGAAGTCATGGCCCTCCTGCCCGCCCCACGCTCACAGAGGACGAAGACGAGTACGAAACGTCCGGGGAAGGCCAGGACATTTGGGACATGCTGGATAAAGGGAACCCCTTCCAATTCTACCTCACTAGAGTCTCGGGAATTAAGCCAAAGTATAACTCCGGAGCCCTCCACATCAAGGGTAAGTACGGGGCGCTGGTGTCCGGAGTCACGTGAGAGGTCCCCTCAGGTGAAACCACAAGGTTAGCTAGAATGGTCTCCAAGATCATCATGGACTTAATCACTCCCAGGAAACAGAAAAAGAGCATTTGACAGCAAATGCAGGGAGTTGACAGCAAACTGTTCACTTAGACAGTGGTCGGCAAACTGCGGCTCGGGAGCCACATGCGGCCCTTTGGCCCCTTACATTGAATGGAGATAATCACTTAGACAGTGGTCGGCAAACTGCTGCTCGGGAGCCACATGCGGCCCTTTGGCCCCTTGAGTGTGGCTCTTCCACAAAATACCACATGCGGGCACGCACGTACAGTGTGATTGAAACTTCGTGGCCCATGAGCAGAAGTCGGTATTTTGTGGAAGAGCCACACTCAAGGGGCCAAAGGGCCGCATGTGGCTCACGAGCCGCAGTTTGCCGACCACGGACTTAAGAGATCAGAGGATGTTTCTCAGGCCCTGTAGAGCAATGCTTCAGAATATTTAGTGCAATGTTTAAAATTGTTTTTAACTGTTAACTTAGAGCTCAAACTTGATCAGTAACACTTTACTAATGAAGTAGCAAATACTTGACAACAGCAGTTCTCTTTGGTCCCTGGATCAGCAGTATCAGCATCCCCTAAAACCTGTTGTAAATGCATGTTCCCGGCCCCACCCGCATTCCCTGGGAGCAAGGCTCTGCAGCCTGTTGTAACTAACCCCCGTAGGGATTACGAATGCCCAGTCAAGTTTGAGAACTGCTACTTGGAACCCTGGTTTTGGTAAAGAAGCAAAAAGACAACGCCAGAATGCAAATAGGTGTTTCCATTCTGAACCAAAAGATGGCCTTTGGTTGCTTTGTTTATTTCCTGAGGTGCGTG